AACTCTGACATTTGACATCTGACATCTGACATCTGACATCTGACATTTGACATCTGACATCTGACATTTGACATCTGACATCTGACATCTGACATCTGACATCTGACATCTGACATTTGACATTTGACATCTGACATTTAACATTTAACATCTTACATTTGACATCTGACATTTAACATCTGACATCTGACATTTGACATTTGACATCTGACATTTGACGTCTGACATTTGACATCTGACATTTGACATCTGACATTTGACATTTGACATCTGACATTTGACATCTGACATCTGACATCTGACATTTGACATCTGACATTTGACATCTGACATCTGACATTTGACATTTGACATTTGACATTTGACATTTGACATTTGACATCTGACATTTGACATCTGACATTTGACATCTGACATTTGACATCTGACATTTGACATCTGACATCTGACATTTGACATCTGACATTTGACATCTAATATCCGACACCTGACGTCTTTACATTCTGAACCCCAACCAGTGATCTCAGGCATTCGAGGCACTCCACACATACCACTTCAGAGGCCCAGGTGTCGCCATTGCAGCAGGCGTAACCAGCAATGGCTCCAAGCACCAGCAAGGACCGCAGGTACACTTCACTGCCTGTGTATGCGTCAGAGTATATAGGATGTGAATGGTGTATATGTGTATGCGTCAGAGTATATAGGATGTGAATGATGTATATGTGTATGTCAGAGTATATAGTATGTGCATGGTGTATATATGTATGTGTCAGTGTCTATAGTAAATGAATGGTGTGTATGTATATGTGACAGAGTATATAGTATGTGAATGGTGTATATATGTATATATGCCAGGGTATATAGTATGTGCATGGTGTATATATGCATGTGTCAGTGTCTATAGTATGTGAACGTTGTATATATGGCATGGCCAGTGCACGTGGAATGGTACACTGGACCAGAACGACCTGTGTGTATGTGAGTGTCCACCTACGTACACACGTATATGGTGTAGAGTGTGCGTTCATGCGTGTATGATTGACTTAATCCATGCTTGCATGAAGCAAACGTTTCGTATATGGTGGATGCGAAGAGAGGTTATTTTAGGGTTCAAAGTTTTAGGGTTTAGGGTTCATAAACCTCCCCTCGCGTGTCGGAAACAACATCTCGAGACGCTTGTGATTGGTTTCCCAGCCCATAGCTTCTCAGAGCCAGATCGATCGCGATCACATAGGGATATGACTCATGCTCGAGAACATCACTCTCATGCCCAGTCACACACACAACGCCACAGTACTGTAGGTCCCCTACGACAACCCCTCAACAAACCCAATATATATACCGCCTGAAAGGCCGACGACAGGGGAGCGATCCATTTTAAGTATATTAGATACGACTGATGGCAAACACGTTTTTGTTTATTATTCATGTGTGTAACGTGAAGAGATTGTTCCGGCAAAGTCGATATATAGTCAATGGTAGTGAGCGATAAGTCAACAGCTATCAGAAACAAGTCATAGCCAACACACACACTATAGACCAAGCAAAGACATAATATATCGCAAGCAAACACACACACTACAGATCAAGCAAAGACATACTATATAGCAAGCAAAGACATACGCTATAGCAAGCAAACACACACACTATAGACCAAGCAAAGACATACTATATAGCAAGCAAAGACATGCTATATCGCAAGCAAAGACATACGCTATAGCAAGCAAACACACACACTATAGACCAAGCAAAAACATACTATATAGCAAGCAAAGACATACGCTATAGCAAGCAAACAAAGACAAACTATATAGCAAGCAAAGACATACTATATCGCATGCGAACACACACACTACAGACCAAGCAAAGACATGCTATATAGGAAGCAAACACACACACTTTAGACCAAGCAAAGACATACTATATAGAAATCAAAGACATACTATATAGCAAGCAAAGACATACTATATAGAAAGCAAGGACATCCGCTTTAGCAAGCAAACACACACACTACAGCAAGATATACGTACTCCCGGCAAAGTCGATATGCATTTCCCCTGGGCCACTGAATAGGATCAGTGCGATGGAGAAGACCATTGCCGGACCGCAGTTGCACACGACTTGGATCCAATTACGCTGACCACCTAAGTACAATAGAACCAACAGTGAGTATCTAAAAGCTAAACCCTAATAAGACCAACAGCGGCTATCTACAAGATTAACCTGAGGGCACGGGTTGTGTGGATGTGTAGGTAAGAAGTTGTACACAAGGGCTGAGACGTATACAAGACGACGTGTGCTACATGATACTTTAAACTGATACACTAAGCATAGGTACACACAACGATTCCCGTCATATCTATGGGTCATGTTAGTCTTATACTAACGATTTAGAACTGATATTCCGATGCTCCACAGTATTGTGGGTGCAGATGCATATGCCGGAATATAGTGCATGAAGCACACGTATATGTACATGCACACACACACACACATATAT